TTAATGGTCTGTTCAGGATTTCTATCTCTTCCTGGCTCAATCTTGGGATGTTGTAAGTTTTTAGGAATTCATCCATTTCCTCTAGGTTTTCTAGCTTATGAGTATATAGTTATTCATAATAGCCTCTGATGATATTTTGTATTTCTGTGATAGCAGTTGCAATGTCTCCTTTTTCATTTCTGATTTTATTTCTACCTTCGCTTGTCTTTTGTTAGTCTAACTAGTGTTTTATTAATTTTGTTTATCTTTTTGCAGAGCTGCCTTTCATTTTATTGATTCTATGTAATTTCTTTTTTATCTCTTTCATTTAGTCCACTTCTGATCTGTGTTATTTCTTTTTTTCTTCTGGATTTGGGTTTGGTTTGTATTTGTTTTTCTGGCTTTTTGAGGTGTGATGTTAGGCTGTTAATTTGTGATCTTTCTATTTTTTCAATGTGGTTATTCAATACTATAAACTTCCCTCTTAGCACTGCATTTGCTGTGTGCCACAGATTTGGGTATATTGTGTTTCTATTTTCATTTGTTTCAAAATTATTTTAATTGCATCTTAATTTCAATAATCATTCAGAAGCATGTTACTTAATTTTTATTCATTTGTGTAGTTTTTGAAGTTCCTCTTGGTATTGATCTAGTGTTATTCCACTATGATCTGACAAGATGCTTGGTATGATTTCAGTTTTTTAAAATTTGTTGAGACTTGTTTTATGGCTTAATATATGGTCTCTCTTGGAGAATATTCCATGTACTGATGAGAAGAATTTATATTCTGTGGTTTTTGAGTAGAATGTTCTGTAATTGTTAGGTTCAGTTTGTCTAAAGTCCAATTTAAGTTCAACGTTTCTTTACTGATTTTCTGTGTTGATGATCTGTCTAATGCTGGGAGTGGCATGTTGAAATCCCCACTATTATTGCATTTCTATGTCTTTCTTTGGGTCTAGCAATATTTGTTTTATGAATCTGGCTGCTCTGGTGATTGGTGTATATATGTTTAGAATTATTGTATCCTCTTATTGAATTGAACCCTATATCATTATATAATGATCTTCTTTGTCTTTTTTTTATACTGTTTTTTATTTAAAGTCTGTTTTATGTAATGTAAGTATAACTACTTCTGCTCACTTTTGGTTTCTGTTCATGTGTAATAACTCTTTCTATTTCTACCCCTTTACTTTCAGTCTATATGTGTCTTTACAGGTAAGATGAATTTCTTATATGTAGTAAATAGTTGGATTGTGGGTTTTCTTTTTTCTTTTTTGAAACAGAGTCTTACTCTGTTGTCCAGGCTGGAGTGCAATGGTGGGAACATACCACACTGAAACTTCAAACTCCT